TTTGATGCATGAGTGGCGGACAGAGGCTATTGCCTCCAGATCTTCCAATCCCGGTCGGCCCAATATGGCATTGTGGGCACACTTTATATCCACCACCACGAACGTCATTCGGAGTGACGCTTTGTGTGTTTCATCCCCAATTTCAACCATCAATTGGATGGTACCCTCAGCCTCAATGCAATTACCGGTGAAACTTGCCAGTGGGGTCCGTAGGTGGGTCAGTTGGCTTCTTTGCAGACCCATTTTTTCGAATGATTGTAAATACAATACATTCACACTGCTCCCGGTATCGACCAGTACTCGGCGGATCAAAGCATTGTCAATACACATGCTTACCACCAGTTCATCCCTGTGCGGGTTTGGAGAGTTGGGTAAATCAGCTGGCCCGAACGTTATCGGGTCCGTCCTTCCTTTCTTCTGGGGGAGCGGAGACGGATCCCACATAAAGACTTCGCTCGAACCTTTTCCGTTCGGCGTTCGAATCCCCTGTCTCCCCGCCCCCGAATATAACCTTGACCTCCATTCGAGGTTTCTTTCCAGGGCCTCCCGAGCCCTCTGGTTCATCCCTGGGGGGAACATATACGTCATTTTGAGGTTGGGCATCACGTTGGGCATCCCGGCGCCAGCTATTAGGTTTTCTGACCGGTCTCAACGTGCCTACAGCATTTGGATCTTTATTCACATACTTGCCCAGATGACCCCTTCGGATCAACTCCTCAATGGCTGTTTGTAGGGCCTTGCAGGCATTGGTGGCATGACCCTTCCTGTTGTGATATTTACAGAAAGCATTGTCGTCCGCTCCCATAAACTGTCCAAAATCAGTCGGGAGGGGAATATTGTCCCTCTCGTGCTGATAAATGGTCGCTACTGATAGGACCAGGGGAGTAAATCTCCCTTGCTTGGGAGGTATAGCGACCGCTGGGCTAGGACCCAGCCGATCGGCCATTCTGATCGGGGCAGTAGGCGCAATGATCTTATCCCTGATCATTATCTCCTCTTCTAGGGCGGCATGCTTGCGAGCCCTGTCTAATACCTCGGCGTAGACTGTACCCGGATTTTTCTTCAATTCCTTGTACAACTCCCCCGTTCGGAGAGCATTCGTAAATAGGGTAATGGCGGTATCATCCGTCATGTTTCCAACCGTCAAAGTTTCATCCCTCCATCTTTTCAGAAATTGATTGAGGGTCTCTTTGGCGTTTTGCTTCACGCTGGTCGAATAGCTGAAGTGTCGTTTGGGGTTGGCACTGGAGGCAAACTGGGCCAAGAATAATGCCGATAACTCGGCAAAGCTGTTGATTGATCTGGGCTGTAGCGTCCCGAACCACTCCTGGACGGGCCCCCTGAGCGTACTAAAAAACAACCGGCAAATAGCGGCCTCGGGTGCTCCTAGCAGCATGAGTCCCCCTTGGTAACTCCTCAAATGCACATGGGGATCTCCCACCCCGTCATAGATTTGGCTGGTCGGTGGCTTGGCACCCCCTTGGATGTCTGCATACATGAGTTCCCTAGTAAAAGGGGAAGTAATTCCCAGCTGAACTGGGGCAGGTTGTACAGGTGCCATGTTCATTTGGTCCCGCATCTCATTCATCTGCCTCCTCATCTCGGCCATTTCTTCTTCCTGAGCCGTCGAAGGGGGCGGTGGTGGAGCCCTCATGTCCGTATAGTCCCGGTCCCAATGCCGTTGAGGGGCCCTGGTATTCTCCCGATCGGTATTCTGGAAATGATGACCAATGGGAGTTGGTCCTCTAGCTTGTGACCCGATCGGGGTTCGGTCACTGGGACTATGGTGCGCTGTTGGTGGGGCACTACGTCGATTATCCCGATGAGCATGCGAACGGGATGATGCTGTAGTTGTTTCCGTGCGTGGAGTCTCTCCTGTAAAGTTGGACCCTCCTTCCTCGTCGTTCGCCATATGCTGCATGACCTGAGCCATGTCTCGCATGGCCTGAGGATTTCTTCTCAGAGATTCGGGAATCACAAAATCCCCATCAAAACGAGGATATGATCCTTGGCTGGATTGTCCCTGAGGAATTTGACTCCCCGGGGTGTGACTCCTCCCGTGACGGCGTGAACCGTCGTTTGTATGATAGGAGCTGATTCTGACCATTTTTGAAAATAGTGGTTTTTGGATGATTTGAATGTGAAACTTTTTGTAAGTTTCCCACATACGGCGCCAATGTTGAGTGTAAATCCCGTAGATCCGAAAGCCCAACACGAACTTTGGATATATCAGGAATGGTACAGAATCAAAGTGTATAAACAAAATATAAAAGATGAACTCACTAATACTCGAAAGCCCACTTGTATTAATTAACCAGTCTGATTACAAGGAATTTCCCGATCGGTAGGTCGGAAAGAATGCTTTAATACAAGAAATAAGAGCAATGATGCTATTCTAGAGCCTGAGTATTGAAATGCTAACCCTTACAATGACTTGAAACCTTCTATTTATACTAATGGAGAGCATGGGCTGCCTATGCTGATTGACCATTGTTCCACCGACTTGGTCACCCACGTTTCCACTTGCTGATGTCACAATCTGGCATTAATTGCACCTGGCCACTTGCCGGTTGGCCGTTGCCCGAACGGGATGTTGGGCTGTACTGAAGATGCTGGCAAATTGGCCCAAGTATAATATATAGCCCGAACTCCGTTCGGTATGTTTTCTTTCCGGGCCAACCCTTATTTGGGCCGAATCTCGTTCGACATCAATTCTACCTTGATTATCTCATCATAGAGTGATGGGCCCGTTGCTTGGGCCGGGTATCTTGGGCCTTCTTGATCCGGCCGGGTATTGAGCCTCTAGGTCAATATCCCAACAGTACCTTTACCTTAAATAAAATGAATTAATGTAATCCAGATGCATTATAAATGCATTGTTTGGATATTTATTAGTTTGAGTGAGATGAACGCCATACAAATTTGTTTACATTGAGGTTGAGCTATATAAAACGCTAAAATTATTTATAAATACTTTTTTTAATAAACACTCGATTTTAAATGAAAGTGTTTAGTTTGAGTTTTTCTGAATTAAATGTCTGAGCATCAATATTCGCGACCTCATACACATGTAATAGTTTGCAGCTCAACTATGGGGTGTTTGGAACTGATTCTGATTCTGCTTCTTTTTTAAAGCAGAGGCAGAATCAAACTCAATTTTCAGAAGCTGGTCACCCCCAACTTCTAAAAAAAATGATTCCTGGAGTAAATTAGAGCACCAAAATCACTTCTGTACTTTTACCCAAATACTCCAACTTCTGCTTCTGCTCCCTGAAGGAGCAAAAGCAGTTTTAAGAATCAAATCCAAACACCCCCTATATATTCTTCTCTGATCCGTCTTTTGCTTTCACGGATTTTTAGTCAAAATAACTTCCTTTTAATTTGATTTTCCAAATACGCTCTTCCTCAAAAGTATGATAAAGAAAATTCATGGTTAATGATGCACATCTATAAGGGTAATAAAATATTGAAATATTATCAATCGAGGATCTGAAGGATAAGTTCAGTATCAATAAAGGATCTGACAGATAAAGTGTATCGATGTAAGACCCAAATAAATGAAAAATTATCAATCTAAGACCTAAAGTATCACATATTTTGGTCTATTTAATTTTTTATTAAATCCGTTGATACTTTTTGATGATTTATTCTTCACAAAAATGTATTACTTTTATGTTATTAATTATTAAATAATATTTAATTTTTAAGATAAAAATACTAAAATTTAGAGAACTTTAGGTCTTATGTAAAAAATGTAAACTACGCCGAAACGAAACACAATTCTCTCTTCTGTCTATATATAGAGAGAGGAACCCGGCGGTCATCTCCCTTCTTTGTAGGGGTTAAGATTTTTCGCCGCTCTTATCAATATGGAGTTCGAGCGGCAGATTATACTGATTTTTAGTGTAATAACGCTTGAGATTGCAATTACGTCAGAGGAGATAGCGTTGATGGATGAACAAGGTGCTGCTGAGAGGTTGTATCAAGGCGAGATCGTGAAGCATTGGTCGGTCATTCTGACGGTGGTGGAGTTGGTATTCACCCATATTGTAGGAGCCCGTCCTCCTCTGGAACCACCTCCATAGCATGAAGATCTTTGTGGAAAGATTTTACTTGAGTAATGTTTTCTTTTCAGTAACACTTGTTTCTGTTTTAGTTCGAGTAATATTTTCTCTCCAGTAAAAAATCTCATTTCCTTCTCCCCCTTCTCTCTCTATTCTCTTTTCCCCTCTCCCTTCTCTCTTTCCTCCATTCGAATATCTCAAAAAAATTAGAGACCATCTTCCCTTCTTCATCTTCCTCATCCTTTCTTCATTCTCTTTTTCTCTGCCTTTTTATATCAATTTTTTATGTTATTTGCATAAAATCAGTTTATTCATTTTATTCCATCTATTTTTATTAATTTTTATTTTTTTCAAATTACATGTAAATTTATCACACATACAACTACATCATTCATTTGGATAAATATAGACAATTAAATTTTTTGTTCACCCAGACAATTGAAATTCATCACACCGACAACTAAAGTTGATCACACAGACAACTATTGTCTGTGAGACGCACAACTATTGTCTGTGCGGTAAATATTGTCTGTGCACACAGATAAATAATTTTATGTGCAACATGAAAATATTGTGTGTGGACACATGCACTGTACATATATTGATTGATTTGCAAGCTGGTGTCAGTGTCAGACAGCTGTCAGTCTACTTTTTACAAAAAGTAAATGTCTGTGGACACAGACAAAAATTGTCCGTGTACACAAACAACTCTTGTCTGTGTACACAGACAACTCTTGTCTGTGTCCACAGACAATTCCGTACCAATTGTCTGTGACCGACATTTTGTGTACAAGTTGTGTACAACTTGTGTATCCGGAGCATTGTTGTAACTCAAAATCTAAACCAAGCTAATCAAAACGGAATCAAATAAAACCGAAAACCAGCCAAATCTTACCCAACTCTCGACGGTTCGGCTTGGTTTAGAGACCAAATTGATAAAAACCTCACCTGAACGGATACAAACCGACCCCAAGCAGCAAACCGGCCGGTCACTGCTCGTTGGATTCTGGAATTCACTTCTTTCACCCTCTTCACATACCCCCTTCCTCATCGCCCCGTGGCTCTCCGCAGTTGCGCACTTCTCTCCCCTTCACTTTCTTCTCTTCCATCAGACAGATTAGGCCCCTCTTATGCCATCCCTTTCTCCCTTGACAAGCATATGGTGATTTTGGCCAGAAGCAGCTAGCCGATATAATATGCTCGGAAAGGTAAACGTTTCTCTGGGTAGTCTTTTGATTCCTTTTAGACATTTTAGAAAAAAAGGTAACTGGAGAGACCTATCTTTGTTGTATGCTTAATTTGGAATTGGAATAGAGTGATGTGTTTGGTGGATTTGGCTAGAAGATTTAACCCAGAGAAAATGATTTGCTCAAGTTCACTCTCACACAACAATCTTTAGTGAATTTTGAGTTTGTTTTTTACTCATTTGGATGTATGCTTGTTCGAAATTCAATTTCTGGAAATTGTGTTTAGGAAAAAATGCTTATTTTTTACAATTTAGCATGCAGATTTATAAAAATACTTAAATCACCTTTTTAAAAGTATTACCTCTCCTACTCACATATTGACCCTACTAAGCATCAGTTTTTATACAAAAACATTAGTTTTTTGGCAGTATCGTATTACTTGATATCTACTCTTAGTGCAAATATATTATGCTTTAAATATCATCATTAACATCATTCATTAATATGATGAATAGGTATCTACTCTTTGTGAAAATAACATCATCCCTTTATAGTAAATCTACTCATGAACATATATAGTAAATATATTATGCTGTAACCATGTAAACATACAGTTTGTGAATTTGAACACTCGAGAGTAAATTTGATAAATCAAATCTCTGACAAAAAATTGTGAGAGGTTATTATTAGTGCTAACTTTCTATCACTTTTTAAAAGATAGATGGTAAAAAGGGTGGAGTCAAACTTTCTATAATATGTTAAATTATAATACTAAGTACTACCTCCGTCCCTTAAAACTTTGTCAAGTTTGACCGGCACGGGAATTAATAAAGTAAAAACTGTGTGGTTGAGGTTTGTGCAGAGGAGAGAGAATTAACTGGAACCACAAATTCTTTACTTAAAAGGGAAAGTGACAAAGTTAGTGGGACATCCAAAAAAGGAAAGTTGGTAAAGTTTTAAGGGACGGAGGGAGTATGTATTACTCCCTTCGTCCCTCAATACTTTGCCATGTTTGACCGGCACGGGAAATAATAAAGTAAAAATTGTGTGGTTGAGATATGTGCAGAGGAGAGAGAAATGACAGGAACCACAAATTCATTGATTAAAAGGGAAAGTGACAAAGTTTTTGGGACATCCAAAAAAGGAAAGATGCAAAGTTATAAGGGACGGAGGGAGTATTACATAAAATTCTCATTATTTTGAAGATGTTCTCAATGTATCTCCTATTAATTAGAGTATTATGCCAGATTAACTCAGGCGTATAGATTTTAGAATGAGATATGTACAAGTTAGGATGTTTTTACTTGGTCTTGTCTGGTCTGGACTGTTTTAGTCTAGTCTGGTCTGGTCTGAAATTTTATTTTTTATATTTTTTGCATAAAGATTTTATTTTATATATATATTATAATCCATAAATAATTATATTTTATTCATTATAATTAAAAATAATAATATTCCTTCCAAATTATCGAAAATTGTTATCGTTTTAATTGGATTGATTTCAATCCCAAACCGAAGCAGATCATACAAATACAGAACAATAATAAAATAGTACAAGTATTAATAATAACAACAATAATTTCCATCATTTGCAATGGAGCCAAAGATTCATTATTTTTTGGCTTGAGATTATGATGGAATAAAGCAAAATGGCTCACTAAACTGTCTGCTCTTCTTTGTTATGAAGCAGTAGTCAGTCCATGCAATTTTGGACGGGATTTTCACTATGTGTCATCCGGAAACAGTCTCTCTGTGCTTTAGCACAGGGGTAAGACTGCGTACATCTGACCCCCTCTTACCCCACCGTAGGTGGGAGCCTTTGCGGCACTGGGGTAAATGAAAATGAATTAATAATAACAACAATAACAATACTACTACTACTACTAATAATAATAATAGTAGTAATAATAATAGTAATAATAGTAATAATAATAATAATAACAATGATAATAACAATAATAATAACAATAATAATAATAATAACAACAACAATAACAACAACAACAATAATAACAATAAAAACAACAACAACAACAATAATAATAATAATAATAATAATAATAATAATAATAAAATATGGTATGGTCTGGTATGGTCTGTTTTCGTCTGGTCTGTTTTGATCTGGTCTGGGACGAATTACAGTCCAAGTAAAAACAACCTTACTGAAGAAAATAGAGCGACTGGAAGAATATTATGGTTCTAATGAAATTGATGTTAGGAAAGTTGCGGTAAGAATCACTGTCAGTCATCCGTGAGGTGAACATCAATGTTGACTACTGATGCCCCTGCCACATATCCCATTAACGGTCGAGCTACAAAGAAGAAGGAAAATTCATTTTTTTTATTAATTTAGAAGAACAAACAAAACAATATTCAAATTAAAATGGCATACATCTGCTAGTTTTAAGTATGAATCTTATCAGAATTAGTAGATGCTAAGGTTTTATCAAACACTATGCAAACCGACAATGATAGTTGGAAAAAAGGATTAATTTTACAAGAGAAAAAATTTAAGGTAGAGAATATAAGAAATAGAGAGTATTGAACGGCGTCCCAGGAGGGAGGGAGAGAGAGCCGTAAAGTGTCATTGTTTCACAATGTATAAGGTTATAAGCTTATATTGTTACTATTGGGAGGGAACTAGTTCTCTTAAATACGTTTGTTTAGGCATCCATGGATCTCCTTATGTTTAGTTTAAGCGTCAGTATCATTCATTGTGCATTTGTGCCCTTCCTTTGGAGAATTTGTTTGCTTTTATATGATCTCCTTATGTTTAGTTTATGCGTCATTGTCATTCATTACACCCTTCCTTTGGAAGAATTCTTTTGCTTTTATATATTAAATAGATTAATAGATTAATAGATAATAGATATTATTATTATTACTTGTATATAACCCGTGGGTTGCATGGGGCATTTTTTTATTTGTTTATGCTATTTTGCAAATTAACATTTGAAAAATAAGAAATATCTACATAATTATTAAAGGTGTATTTAAGAAAACCAACTATTTATAAAATAATGGTATACTCATTTAGGTGTATTATATATTGTAGCGCCAATATATATATTCATTAAAATTTTAGAACATTGCATTAAATAGTAGCACGAGGAGAAGACAGAGAAAATGGTGTTCATATATTGAATTATGAAGCAATAGTACACAAAAGTTTTTCCAAGACAAACTGATTCATCACATTTGTAAAGGAGAATCCGTTAAAATAAGTTTTTTTACATATAATTGTCTAAATTGATGTTGTTTTTCGTGTTGACATACTACATTACATATAATATGAATGTTATTATCAACAAAAACATACTAATATCTGCTAGGGGAATGCTTGCATTACGTTACTGACCACTGTTTTATTGTAGATTGCCACATGGTTACCGCGCGAGGCTCTACATGTTGCTCCGACCTTGTACACTTTATTTTCACATTTTATACAACCTCAAACTAACATAATACTTCAAACATATTTATAAAAAACGTAAATTATTTTATTCAATCTAATGATACAGTAATTTGACGGTACACACCAGCTAAAATTTTAAAGAGGGATATTTGTAAAGTAGAACAAAATATTGAAAATATCTCAAAACTTTTATTCTCAGAATATTTAGAATCATTTTTCATCTACAAACTGCTATTTTTTTGTGAAATCCGAAGTAATAAATAGTCTATGTATTTACTTAAAAATTCTAATGTCTATCCATGTATTTACATGTGAGTTTAAATTTCACATCATTTATTTATTTGATTTAAAATATGAATTTTGTATTTGTTTAAAATTGAAAAAATAATTTTGGACAAATTGAGAAAATTTGAAAAAAGGGTAATATTAACTCATTGGACCAGGTTAATAGAATTTTGGCCCAATTAAAATGTGTAACCTCCAAATATTAGAGTGCTCCTTTAATTGTCCACACATCTCACTCCCTCTCAAGCGTATCTCACCAAAATGAATTTGTCTCTCTTGCTCTCTACCTTTCTCCCTAGCCTCGATTTCATCTCCTTCTCTTGCAAGAATCTCTCTGTTATCCTTTATCACTCTGTCTGAGGAAGAATACGTCCCTCTCTTGCAAGTTTCAACTATCTCTTTCTCACACTTTTCTTCTTGATTGTCAAAATCATTTCCCTGTCTTTCTTAAACGAGAGTATTTTGCGAGATTTATCTCAAACCTAGCTGCACTACATCCTACTTGTAGCTTGTAGCCTGGTAACTACAACTAGGGGTGTAAACGAGCCGAGCCGAGCCCGAACCTACATAGGCTCGAGCTCGAAAATATTTATCATGTTCGAGTTCGGCTCGACCTCGAACGAGCTCAAATTTTAATGCTCGAGTTCGGCTCGGTTTATTTACCTAGCTCGAAATCGGCTCGAGCTCGGCTCGAAGTTACAATAATATGCATGAAGCAAAATTTAGGTTCAAGGGGGGTTCGAACCTATGTTGCAATGTTAACTACTTAAGGAGAACTCCATTCAACTACAAACTCATTTGTGGAAACTTTGAACTTAAATAATTATTATACCTTACACACACACACTCACACACACACACACACCAAGGCTTGCGAGCAGGCTCGCGAGCCACGAGCCTAAAATAAACAGGCTTGAATTGGGCTCGTTAAATACTCGAGCCGAGCCGAACTCGAGTCGAGTTTGAATATGACCGAACTCGAGTCGAGTTTTTATCGAGTGAGTCCCGAGCGGATCGCAAACGGCTTGGCTCATTTACACCCCTAACTACAACTATGATGTTTAAATTTCACATATGTTTCTTTTTTATTTTAATATTGTCCTGTTTCTTTTATTAAATGGGCGAAAATCGATTTTTTTTTGACAATTTCATGTTATTTGAACCTTAGAGTTTGATGATTATTTGACATTTATACATGCATCTTTTCTGGATCTCAATTGTTTAAGAATGGGTTTCTTTTCTTTTGCTATAAAGTGGGAACAAAGAGAAAGAATACTTTGTGAGTCATATTTATGTGGAAAGTAGGTACTTAATTAGACTTGATAGTATTTAAAACTCGTCTAGATGTAATACAATCAATGTTCAGAAGATAGAATGCCTCATACTAAGAGGAAAATTCACAAATGTAAAGGAGTTATATCCAGTTATTTATCTCAGTCCATTAATCTTTTGTTTCCTTTTGTATAAGTAGAAGCTTCAATAATTATGTTTCTTGGTTCTTTGTCACTGAAATACTTTTTCCCCAGGTTGTGACCTGCCTGAGGTGGGGTGAAGAGGAGTTGGAATTAAATGCTCTTCTAACCTAAATAGCCAAAGAGGAACTGGAAATGAGAAGATGCTCTTCGCCAAAGGACTGCTCTTTTAGCTTCATTTCATTAGGAGGACGTGTAGATGTTTCAGCCTTGAGCAATTGAGCACCATTTGTCCATTTCAGGTTGTGTTAATTTTTGTGTTTTGTGTCAACAAATGCAATGCTATGGACTTCTTTGACAATAATTTTTGCCCTCTATATTTGCTTTAAGGTTGATCATTCGTAAAACTGTCAACTATATACCTCATCGTTCCTCATCTGTACGCACATGGTGTATACTTGTTTTTATATATATTACAATTTAGATGTCAATGTGCGAAACTGATGCAATGACTGAAATTAAAGAGTAAAAATATTCAGACCCACTAAATAGGTGTATAAATGAGATGTAGACCCACCAATATGAGTTATCAAATGGATAAAACATCACTTAATATTCAGAGTAAAAATAACTGAAATTAAAGATTGTTTTTGAAAAAACAATTCAGAGAAAGACGAAATGGAGGAATGATGAGGTATGTAGTTGACAGTTTTACGAATGATTGCAGGAATTAAGTGGAAAGTAACTTATAAGAGAGAATGTAGATCACACGAATGTGTTTGTTACGTTTTTGTTGGTGTAAGCAGGCCAACCATTTGTACTCACCGATCATGCTTGCATTGGCCAGTTTGTTTTTGAGATGTTAAGCTCTTGGATTTTGTGGAAGTCTTCAGATCTACATGTCTAACTATAACAAAATGTAAAACGTAAAATGTAAAAAGTATGTGTTTTATAGATTTTCATGTCACATGTAGAGGGAGACTGTACCTGGTAAAAAGTAGAGTATACAGGTGAAAACACCGTTAGAATTTAACACATGTTCTTGCTTTCCAAAATTGTGACAGGAGTGTTTGAAAATCCTATTTATAGTGTACTACACCTTTGACTTATTATATCCTTTAAATGTGGTTGTAAACTGTTATGAATGTAACCCCTAGTACGTGCAAGTTGAAGACCGTAATCTGCTAAATGGAGACTGTCATTGAGGAAACCACCATTATGTAAAACAACAAATTGTTGATCAACATAATTTTGAATGCAAAAATAGTGTACAGATTTCAAAAGTTCAATCTACTGCCACGTCTACTGATCAACAAATAAATCTTGAAATTGTTTTTGTAGGTTGCCACTGATAACATACTCATATTATGTAGGTTGTGTTAGATATACTCTAGAATAGACTTATTACTATTACTTGTAACAAATTGTCTGTTAGAGCGTGGTTAGAGTTAGTTAGCCCGTTGACCTAACCAACTCTATATATACATTGTAATACTGCTGCTTCAGATTAATAATATCAATCTGCTTCTTCTCTCTTTCTACTCTCTGTATACTTTCTAATAGGTTGCCACAGGTTTATTCAAGTTTTGTATAGGATTGGTGATACTGACACGTGTCCTCTTATGTTACAGGTGTTATTAGATATAGATGTGATCAAGGTGTTTGCCTAGTCTTAATCCAAGATTCCAAGACCACCGAGTGTGTTTACCACATCTTCTTCTGCCACTATGTATAATTTAACTGTGTTTACTCTTCGTTTACAAATGTTTGTTAGATGTGCAGAAAGTGTGTGCCATGTGTTAACATAATATGTTAGGACGGGAACAATTATGTCTCTCACGGTCCCCTTATATATATATAAAGATTGTGAATATTATTTTAATACTCCCTTCGTCCTGTATTTAAGTTCCCGTTTCACTTTCTGGGATGTCCCATATTAAAGCTCACACTTCCATTGAAGGTAATATTTATATGGTAAATGACATTCATATCCCCCAGCTTACCCCTGATCATTTATGCCCTTAGATTTTGCCCCCATTTACTATCTGTGGTAAGGGTATAAGGTGGTAAGGGTATAAGAGGAATCAAAGTCAGAGTTTATCTGAATGTTTGTATTTTGAAAAAAGGCTTTTGAGATATTCTGTATTGTAGTTACAAATCAAATTGGGCCAGTTATAAAAAATTAATTAATGTTGATTCGATTTGTTTGAGACTTTGAGTAGTTGTATTCAGTGATTACTTTGGAGGGAACCTTTGAATGTGGAAGGTTATCTTAGATATTAAGGTTTCAGTGTATAATTGTTTTTTTATGGTTGCTTTGTGTTGTAACAGTTTGCAAGGTTGTAGCACGCCTGCACCATGTACTGGATTTCAGACGTGACACTGAAAATCATAAACCAGAAAGAAGGATGACAGAAATGGATGGGCATATTTTTTAGGCTCTCTCCTAAGGTCCCCCTCCGATAGCTTGGGTGTAACACCACCATATTTATGTGGAAAGATAGAAAGGTATGCAAATATATTCCCTGTGAAAATTTGAGGAAATTCACAATTTGAAAATATCCCTGTTCAATTCATGTTATCGTAACAAGTTAAATGACTTAATGACATATGTTTACTACATCTGTTTTGGCATGGTAAGCAACTAAAAGTTGAGTCTTTGAAACTTTGATTAGCCTACATCTCCCCTTATATAATAAGAGCCATCTCCCGTTACCATAGTACTTTTTCCGTTAACCACTCCACTTTTTTAACAAAAAATACAACTCCTGCCTCTAATACATCTATTCCGTTAACCCTTCCTCGAACCGTTGTTTGCAGTTACTTAGCTTCCCATCGCCAAAACGTTTTCCGGCCTTAAGCGTATAACTTCAACCAAACAATTCTCATGCTGCTTCACGCCTTCACATCTGCTCTCTTCCTTCATCCGCTGCTCGTGTTACCTTCTTTGACTTTACTGCTACTCTCCAAACAAGGTATATATTACATACTTATTACTTCGGTCGTTCTGAATTCTGATAACTAAGGGCTGCAATTGTTCATCACTCTCTTGTTCATCTAATTCAAATTCCCATCACGTGCTTCATTTATCAAATTAGTCTGCACACTATATATTTATGCCCACAAAGTGTTCGTCAAAATGCCACTTGAGTTAAGGAATGCTTGCAATCAATATGTTACACTCATTTTTCTTTCTTTTAAAGGTTGATCACTCATTTTTCTTTCTTTTAAAAGTTGGGCGTGTGCGGTAATACACGGTATCAGAGATCAAATTGCTCTTCAAAAACTAGAATACATTTTCACTTTTGAGACCATGTTTGTTTTAAAATAAGCTAACAGCTATGTGTGTTTGGATATCTATAATATTGATTTTTGTAAATGCATCAGATAATATCGTTTACTCACACATATTTCTTTTCATATAGATAATAACAATGAACACCCCATCTCATTCCTTTCTCTTCTTCTAGCCCTCCTAATAACCTTCAACTTAATAGTCATGAAACAGTATTCAGAAGCACCTGTCAAGGAAGTAGTTAAATAATCATCCCTGCCTAGGCTCTTTTGTCATTTTTGCATTCATCTACTTACTAATTTAACCTTCATCCCTGCCTAGGTTAAATCTTTCGCTAACAACAAATGCATACTCAAATAATTAGAGTTTCAAGTAGCCTAAAGTCTCACTCTTATGACCATTTTTTAGTGGTGGCCTGTCATGTGTAAATGTTAACAACCTGTATCATGGGGTAAGATTTGGTGAATTGAACAAATTTGATGATTTATATAAAGCACACAGAAATTATAATTTTAAAAATAATTGGGGTAAGACACTGAAACTGTTAGAAACCCTAGCAATTACAGAATGTTCACTAACAAACAGAAGAAGGGTAACTAAGAAAACTGAAAGCTTCATTAATGGAGAATCTGAGTACACAGTCCCAAAGAAGGAGATAAACTCCAACTTCCCAGTCCCAGACCAAATGAGTCTAAACAGCCTCCTTACTACTTCCCCTTCCCATCTATTTATACTAGAGACCCTTATTACTAATATTATTATTATTACTTCTAATATTATTCTAATAGGCAGGTCCCTATCAATACTCCCCCCTAAACATCCACCTTGCCCTCAAGGTGGTCGGTAGGAGACAGCCCAGATCTTCTGCTTCTTCTTCTTCCTTGCACCCCTTCCTTCCCAATATCTTTCAAATGTCAGGATCCTTAACTTCTTGACTTGAGTCTTCCTTCTCACTGCTTCTCGCAAAAACAACATTAGCTCCTTTTTCTTCCAATCATCAATATTAGGCCCGTGTCTTTGATCATGCTGGTACTGATCTTTACCCACCATCCCTTTCTCATTCTTCCATGTGCTAATAGCTCTTGCTACAGGATCTAACTCAAATCTTTGAGTTTCAGTTGCTTCACTCCTTGAAATTTCAGCATCTTCAGTAGCCAACTTATTTGAGAAGGAAAACCTCAAAGGTTTTAGCAGGTAGGTAAGGATATCCACTATTCCAGTTGCATTTCCCCTAACTGAAGAACAGGAAAGCCTATTATCCATGCAAAACTTCCAAAGTAGGTTTTCTTGAAGGTAGACAGATTCTTCATCAGAAGAAAACAATTCACTTTTCAAGCCTTGTTTCAGCTTCACCTGTCCATTTGCTACAGCCTCCCATCTATTAATAGTAGCCCGAGTAGTAGGATCCCGGGCCATACTGATTTGATACAACTGATATTCAAAAATATCAACAACATACTTCCTCATCCCTTTCAAAAAAACAATGGTGCTTAACACATTGTCCTCTTTCCAGTTCATACCTCTTTTCATGAGTATTTTGTGTCTTGGATCAATACTTGCCATAAGAAACTTGTAATCAAAACCTACACTTCTATCTTGAACAGGTATACAATCTACTGGCAGTCCCCTAACCTCTTCACTAACGATTTCCACACCAGTCACATATCCCTCAAATTCTGTAACATTCCCAGAAATCTCTCCTTCCAACTCCTTTTTATTACCCATCATAGAAGTAATACCCTCATATCTGAAACTATCAAACTTGTTCAATGATTTCAGCCCTTCCAAAGAAATGTTTAATGGATGACAATATATCATTTCAGATTTTAAAAGATTCAGCCAGTTCATCTCCTGAACGAAACTAGACTTGTCAGCATCATGAATCTGTTTGGGATTTCCAAAAATGATAGCAGATTCTCCCGAAACAAGCCCAACCTCCTCCTCATGTCTTTCCTCCTTGATTTTGTCTTTCTCATTCACTTGCTTGATTACAGGTTCATTTGGTTCCATCTGGGTCTTCTTTGTGGACTGGTAAATTTCTAGCACTGATTGAGAAACTTGTGAACGAGAAATTCTTTGCGACCTCGATGACTCCTGTTTTCGCTGCCTGCTTAAAGATGATTCCCACAAATTGAATGAAGAAGTTCTCGATTGAGAACTGGAAGAAGTTCTTCATGACTTCAATGAATCTCGGCTTTCTGTCTTCCCTGTCTTCGGCCGGCGTGTAGGTGGAAAATCCCTAATCAAGTCTTCCTTTAGAGCCTCCCAACTATCTTCTCTCTTTTGAAAATTCCACCATTGAAACCAGCCATCTGCGGCTTCCCCCATTGCCTTTGCTGCCATGTCCACTTTAAATCTTTCTGCAATAGCTTGGACTCGGAAATATCTTTCCATCCTTTCTATCCATTTGTACGATTCATCCTCGTAGAATAGAGGTAATTTCTCTGTCTTTGAATTAGCTGAGTTCCGAGAAATTGCTTTAGAAGAAGATAGTGAACTGTGAGAATCATTTGGTGAAGAAGAAGATTCTCTTCTCAATCGTGTCTTCCTTGAATGCGAACTGATGTCCGTTGAGAAAGTCTGATGCGAAGAGCGATGATAAGAATGATGAGAAGAACTTTGCGAAGAGCGATGTGAAGAGCTTCGCGAAGAAACAGTTCGATCGCCAGATTTTCTGCGATGCCTTAGATCTTCTGATTCCTCTGGATTCGCTGACTCTAGCGAATTATGATGATTTCTACGATGCGTGTGAGGATCGCGATCACGCCTCGATGCAGAATCACCCGATTGATTGTCCGATCCTTTAGAACTATCTTTATACCTCGTATGCCCATGGTGTGACGTACGGTGCGATGAAGTCGATTTATGCGATCGACTCCCTGATCGACCTGGAGACCTATTATGCAAATCTGCGATACTGGCTTGCATCGTGGCCAGCGTAGTCGCGATACTAGTTTGAAACTCCCGCAGACTTCTATCCACACTCGCCTGCCTCTCACGTTGACTTCTTTCCAATTCCGTCATTCTTCCATCCATCAAGGTCATCCAGCGATCAATTGGCTCTGATACCAATGTTAGAAACCCTAGCAATTACAGAATGTTCACTAACAAACAGAAGAAGGGTAACTAAGAAAACTGAAAGCTTCATTAATGGAGAATCCGAGTACACAGTCCCAAAGAAGGAGATAAACTCCAACTTCCCAGTCCCAGACCAAATGAGTCTAAACAGCCTCCTTACTACTTCCCCTTCCCATCTATTTATACTAGAGACCCTTATTACTAATATTATTATTATTACTTCTAATATTATTCTAATAGGTAGGTCCCTATCAGAAACTTATACCATATAAGTTAAACTTTCATTGACAATAACGACTCCAACATTATTTTTTGGTCTTTTTTTGGAGAATATTGCTATCATGTGAAATTTCGAAACCCCTAAACTAAACCAGATCGTACGTTAAGATAAGTGATGGGGATGTTTCCATATTAAATTATTGGTTCCCACCAAAATGAAGTGTTTGGTATAGTACATTTTTCAAATAGGCTAAGTAAATAAGCTACATTTTTCAAATATTTGGCATTCGTACCAGGTTGGATGGTGAAAATGGAATGCTTGACCAAAGTATGTGGCATATTTTAACAATTGGGGTATGATTGGCTGATCAGAATTATGCAGTTCTATAAATGCTTATGTACAGTATAAATAAATCGCATCGTAGTAGGATTACAAATGATGTTTTGTTCAACGCATTTGTCTACCTTTCACTTGTTCACTTCATTCGAATTCTCTTAATCATCTGGAGTTTTCTCTTTAATTGATGTTTTAGCATAATGCATAAATTGATGGATTGGTGAAAAAAACTACTGAAAAAAGTTCTTCACATTCTCAATATGAAGAAGTTTTTTGCATTTCTCTCAAAGTTAGTGAAAGTGGAGGGTGTTTTCCATTACTGTAAAAATCTTATCACTTTGTTTCATTTATTTCTCTTTAGGATAAAATTTTGTTTATGCTCATGTCTACATCTTTTCGCATCAATGAAGCTTGCAATTTTAAATAGACAAATGCCTTTTTTACTTTCATGGAATTTTGGCTAGAAGCCTGGAACAATGAGTATTTAGTTTTATCTCAATAGTCATTGCTGGAACTAATGCTTAGTCATGCTGCCATACATAAGACGTAGATTTTGTTACTTCTTTTCCATGACTACCTCATTTGCAAGGCTGCACTAAATCAATCATACTCTCTCTTGCTTCTTAGAATTCCAAGTATAGACTAAAATATTCCATACAAGTAATACTACCATCACAAACTCCCACGTGTTTTCTTAATCCAGTGTACGTTTAATGTACACATAATTAATCCCGCATAAATGATTTCTCCAAATGAGGAAATTCCATTTCATTGTTCTTTTTTATCATTGATAATATTCTTTAAAAAGACTATAAAAAGTGAGATGTAAAATGAATTAATCCGAGTGAAAAGTATAAACAGTTTCTATGAAGAGTAAAACATATATGCAGTTAATTTTATATTTCTCCTATTGTCTTACTACAACTTCAAAATAAACAAGAACTAGCTTTTCACATTGCTCAATGGGATGCATACTAGCCATGTTCGTCTTCATATGACATTAAAGGGATACTTAAAGCTAACTCCTGAAATTTTTTCAGTAAATCAAGTTTACTCATTTAATTGTTAATCAAAGTGAATATGCATATGAAATCAATCATACTCTCTCTTGCTTCTTAGAATTCCAAGTATAGACTAAAATATTCCATACAAGTAATACTACCATCACAAACTCCCACGTGTTTTCTTAATCCAGTGTACGTTTAATGTACACATAATTAATCCCGCATAAATGATTTCTCCAAATGAGGAAATTCCATTTCATTGTTCTTTTTTATCATTGATAATATTCTTTAAAAAGACTATAAAAAGTGAGATGTAAAATGAATTAATCCGAGTGAAAAGTATAAACAGTTTCTATGAAGAGTAAAACATATATGCAGTTAATTTTATATTTCTCCTATTGTCTTACTACAACTTCAAAATAAACAAGAACTAGCTTTTCACATTGCTCAATGGGATGCATACTAGCCATGTTCGTCTTCATATGACATTAAAGGGATACTTAAAGCTAACTCCTGAAATTTTTTCAGTAAATCAAGTTTACTCATTTAATTGTTAATCAAAGTGAATATGCATATGAAATGAATTCATCTGCAGCTTTGGATGCCAAGGTTATTGAATCCATATACTTATATCTTTTCATATTTGAAATGCTCGAAATAGTCTGCACAAGCTGTTGTGGTCTAATGTTTACAGAAAATATATAGCTTCTAATATACGCTATAGTTTTATAGCTTCTAAGTTCAAAGTTTCAAAGTTGATATGAAGGAAAGATCTTGAGGAGTGGTTGATGCATATATAAGAACCATATAAGTTTATCTCTTTTAAAGAAAATCTCTAAAGCATTTCAGGTATCATTTAGCTTTAGATGAGATTAGCACTTCATTTTTAATGTAAAAGACTGACTTTCAGGAAATTCATGCTAATCATGTGATGAAGTGCTATGTTTCTCATATGTTTACATTATTCACTCTAAAAGTGTCACTATCTTCCATGGCCCCTATGGGTCATTCAAACTATTAGATTTTTAATTTTGTTCATTACTAAGCTTCAGCCAATGTTTCAGTTCATATATAAAACATGGGCTGCATTTGGTATATAGTTTCTCTTAGATCATCATGGCACTGGTGAAGATCAATACTCTAGATGTACCCACGATTTCTAAAGAAATGTGGTTCTTCTTCTTATAGGAACAACCAAGTGAAGTGTGCTATTTTGAATCAACGCCTTAGGATCATGAATTACTTAATAGTGGTAATGGATGAAAAGGTACTTGGGTTGATTTAATTTATGTTATTGTCTCTATGTTACTTTTTTTATAAAAATATATGTATTGTGCTGCTGATATTTTAAAAGAATACACCCATTAACTCTTCATGCTACTGATATTTTAAAAGATAAGCCTATTATTTACTTATTTACTTAATTTATTATATATATATATATATTTCTATGTTTATGGTTAGGGATGAATATTATTTGAAACTGGGATGTATGAAACCTTGACAGTATATTTGAATTCGTAAAGGGTCTCTTTTACCATAGAACCTAAAATATTTTCCACCTTAATTTAAAATAATGAAGTTTATACACCACAAAAACGCAGCTTTCTTTTCAAGAATTGACAAAAATTGTGAGTTGCCCAGTGGGATTTTTTAAATGTTTCCGTAGCTAATCATTCGAAAACCCATTGGAGCCTGTTTATATTATAAATGAACCAATAAAAACTATTTGAAAATTAATAATGTACAACTTGTGTTAAGCAGGTTCACTCTTAGACTCTAATTGTGAAAAATAAGGAGTGATTAGGTATAAAGAATAGCTCTTGGACTTTTTTATTTTAAGAATGTCTCTGCACATTTACCTTTATTTATGCCCCTTTTGATAAAAGAACTTCCATTTCTTAAAGAATTTCAATTTCTGTATATCTTACTAGCTAAATGACAAGTTACCTTTTCTTAAAAGATTTGAGATTAAAAAGACAAATCTACTTGCCTTAAGCTCTTAATTTATAACTATGAGTTGGTATGTAACACACATTAGAACACATGAGTACTTCTTACTCTATCAATGTGGTGCAATAATTTCAAGAGATATCATGTATTTTTCGTCTTCTCTAGCCTCCCAAAAGTTTTTTTTTGTAAATGATATGGATGATGTCCTGTAATCCTGTTTCTGAAATCAATATAATGGATGATGCTGGGTATTTGAATTTTAGATTGGATATATAATGTAGTAGTTTTGGTTTTCTTACCTTCTTTTAAATTTACTATGTGCTTATTTATTTCTGTCTATTTTAATGGCCTTTAGGGTGTTTTTATTTGGATTATTGTATAAAAGAAGATTCATAAAAAATTTGTAATTTTAAGTGATACATTTTTTATTATGATCACATAATCACCAAATTGTAATTTTGATTGTCATTTGTTTAGATTTATAAACAATTGGTTATAAATCTACACATTTGGTTAGCGCATTCCCTGCAACACGTGGAATACTGGTAATCTTAAAAGCATACCTAATTCTTTTACTCGTCCCTTCCCGTAAAGCATTATAAGCTTTACCCTTGCCTGTGACTGAACTGCCCTCCTTCCCCGAAAGTGTACTAGCTTTTACCATTGCTTATGACAAAACTGACCTCCTTCCTTGAAAAGTTTACTAGCTTTGAACATTGCTTGTGACTGAACTGACCTCCGTCCCCAAAATGTTTACTAGCTTTTACCTTTACTTTGTAAAGCACATATTGATTACTTAATACACAAGTCATGTAATTTGGAAGTATAGCATGTAGCTATGTATACCTTGCCAATTCTCATTTTTCTACAGATCAATTAATTTGGCTTTATTAAACCAAATTTTTATATTTATAGAATTCTAACTAATTAGACATATGTAGTAATTCATTAGACATTGGGCACAGATCGCACGTAGTGCGTACACCGCTAGTGAACTGATAAGTTGCATTTGTAGTTTGGTACATTGGCTTGCTATCAGTAGATACAGGACACCTAAATAAGATTATGATTATTTCATTTTGCTGAAACTGTTTATGATCACCCCTGCAATTCTTTTGTGACAGTTTACTGTGATCTTTTCTTTGCTTGAACAGTAAAATATCAGCATTCCTTGCCTATCTCCGTTTTCTTTATTTGGCATGTAATCATTTCATGATATGTTTTGAACTTTTTTGTTTGTAATCACCAGGACAGAGTGAAGTAGAAAAGCTGAAGAGTTGCATTTTGGCCCTTGTCTATCCAACTACTATACATTTTAAGTTGCAATTTTACTGTTGTATGAGATTTTCTGAACTCCAACTAATATATTATTTTCATTCTTTCAAAATGAAATATGCAATTTTTAGTCCAACAATAATTTTGAAAACCTGCCGATTTGAACCCATCACAACCCCCCACACCATGTGGATGATGCTATATGCACAATGTACAAGACCCATGTCACAGTCTACATCTATTCCGAAGAAACAGCAGCGAGTGCGGGACCACGGCTTTGACAACTACATGGAGGTGGAGAAGAAAACACGCAAAGTCCTGAAATTCCAAGACCTAATCCTCACCCAGCCAAACTCCATGATCTCTGTTTCTCACTTGGACGTGCTGTCACGCAGGATTGGGTTCAAACAACATGAAGTAGCAAAATTCATCCTCAAATTCCCCCACATTTTTGAGATATTTGAACACCCAGTTCAGAGGATTCTCTATTGCAGGTATGGTTAACATATTAAATCTAGATATATTTCATTTAAATTTGGCTATTTTTGAGTATTCATATTCATTTGCTTTTAATCTAGAAATCAATAATGTATTTGGTTCGACCATCTTATTAGCATATTTTTTATTGGGAAAATTTGACTTTGCACCCCATGTTTTGGGTGATATTTGACTTTGCATCCTATTTTCAAAATCATTAATGTATGCACCCCAATTCACTATAAAATCATTTGACTTTGCACCCCACTCCTTCACAATTTTTGGGCTAATGGGGTGCATACATTAATGATTTTAAAAATGGGGTGCAAAGTCAAATATTACCCAAAACATGGGATGCAAACTCAAATTCTCCCTTTTTTATTTTATTCAAATATTCATATTCGAAATCCTTATACATAAATACACACACATGCCAATCAATATATCTGGATGTGTTGCTCATATACATATACTTGTGCAGTGCGTTCTTCATGTATCTATGTATCGTGCATATACTACCTCCGTCCCTTAAAACTTTGCCAAAGTTGACCGGCACGGAGAATAATAAAGTAAAAATTGTGTGGTTGAGGTTTGTGCAGAGGAGAGAAATAACAGAAACCACAAAATAATTGATTAAAAGGGAAAGTGGCAAAGTTTTTTGGGACGTCCCAAAATGGAAAGATGTCAAAATTTTAAGGGACGGAGGGAGTATTAAATTATATATATGGCATTTGAAATTTAAATTTGATTCAAATAAGTGAATGTAAACCTGTTGGTGTTATTAAAACTTTTCAAATCAATGTGTGTAGGTGTGGATGTATGTATTTACACATGCAAAGTATTATAATTTCAAATTTGTTTTTGAGTTCATGGAATTTCAGTTGCGAAGTTTTTTGAATCAGGAATGGAACGAATAACATTTGATTCCCTGTCACAAAAAAGTGTAGGTTCGCCCGAAAGGCTCAGTTGCAGATGTGTCAAGAAAACGAAGCCCTTTTGGCTCAAATCCCGGATGCCATCACCCGGCTAAGAAAGCTTCTGATGCTCTCAAACACGGGTCGACTCCGGCTGGAGCATGTTCGGATTGCCCGGAAAGAGTTTGGGCTGCCGGACGATTTCGAGTACTCGGTAATTCTGAAGCACCCTGAGTATTTCAGATTGTTTGATGGCACGGGAGAAAGTAGACACAAGTACATTGAGATTGTAGAGAGAGACCCGAAACTGGGGGTGTGCTGTATTGAGAAAGCAAGGGAGAAAGAGTATAGAGAGAAGGGCGGGGAGGCTGAGAATTTACGGTTCTCGTTTATTGTGAATTTTCCTCCTGGTTTCAAGATTGGGAAGTACTACAGGATTGCAGTGTGGAAGTGGCAGAGATTGCCTTATTGGTCTCCGTATGAGGATGTTTCGGGGTATGATTGTAGATCTCTTGAAGCGCAGAAGAGGATGGAGAAGCGGGCGGTTGCCACCATTCATGAGCTCTTGTGGTTGACTGTTGAAAAGAAGATAACTTTAGAGAGGATTGCGCATTTCAGGATGGCCATGGCTTTGCCAAAGAAGCTCAAAGACTTCCTCCTTCAGCACCAGGGCATATTTTACATCTCCACGCGGGGGAACCATGGGAAACTGCACACTGTGTTTCTCAGAGAGGCTTACAAGAGAGGAGAGTTGGTTGAACCCAACGGTCTATATTCGGCAAGGAGGAAGCTGGCTGAGCTGGTACTGTTGAGTCCTAGGAAAGCACCAAAAGTAGTGGATCATAATTTGGTCAGTAGTTATGGTTGGAGAGACGATGGCGAAGCAGCAGCTTATGTTCGAAGTGAGGACGTTGAGAATGACAGTGTCACAACAATGCGTGGTGTTGATCTGAGAAATGCTGGTTCCAGTTTGTTCGGTGGATCTGCCGATGACATGGATCCCTTAGGCTCTGTTAGTGATGATGATGATGATGATGATGATGATGATGATGACGACGACGACGATACTTGTCACAGGCTTGAATAGTTAACCGAGAACTGCTTGTATCTCGAATGACTAGTTAATGGTTTGGTTGGGGGAGCTTCAAAAAATTAGCCTTTGGAGGAGCCCTCAAACGACTAGTTAATGGTTTGGTTGGGGGAGCTTAAAAAAATTACGATTACCCATTCATTTTAAAATAAAAATTCCCACACCTTCATTACTCATTCTCTCTACACATAATCTCCTATATTCTCTACTCATACAATCTTCATCTTTGCATTTATATTTAATATATTCACACACAGACACACGCGCACACACTCATAGAGAGAAAACCTGTATAACAAATGCCAGTTGGGACCTTCTCGATGGAATTTTTTTGATGATTTTTTGAGTATTTTCTTCATGAAGTTTAGATTGTGTCGACTATATTTAAACTTAAAATTCCATCGGAAAAACAATTAAATAAAGTATTAAACATACTGTATTTTTTGTATGTATAAAAAATGCAGAATGTTTTAAGAATTTATTTAACTGTCTTCCTGATTTAAGTCTAAGTCTAAATTTGTTGGACATAATCTAAACTTCATGAAAAATATGGTCAAAAAATGTCACCGATAAGGGTCCAAAATGACCTTGGCCGTACGAGAGTTCTCGTCGGACCGTTTGCACGAGATCAATACTCTCTCTCTCAAAATCCTCCAAAACCTTCCTTTCCATATTTTTAAACTCTCAAAAATGAGAGGAAGGATAATTAAACCCTTGTCAACCTTCTCATCCCCTCCAAAATTCAACTCTCAAACATTTCTTGGGTATGTTTGTGAGTATGGGAGAGGGAGAATAGGACAATTTGAAAGTTAGCCATGAGAGGAGAAGCGAGTGGAAGTGAAAAAAACCTTGTTTTCGTTGGGAGTTATAAATTTGGGAAGAGGAGAGCTACGGAAAATTATGATTTAAATCGCTTAAGATATACATTGAATTCAAATTGTTGAACTTGTATTCATTTTAAATTGAGCTAAAATTATCATTTATTTTGTTATCCTTTCAAAATCTCCAAATGAGGAACTAAAAATTGAGCATTCGTTGACATGGATATTACTAAAAATAAGATTAAAGACAACAGTGACTTCAGCCAAAGTGAGTTTGGCCAAAGTGACTCTGACCAAAGTGACCCCATCGGCTACAGTGATTGTCTCACCGGTCACAGTTACTCGGCCAGAGTGACTTCTCGCACACCAGCCATAGTGACTGCCCGCCATAGTGACAATGTCGTCGGCACCACCCAATGATTGTTGCTGCACGGCTTCATCCTGTGACCACCGCCCCTCCCCAGCCCCAACCAGCCACAACCCGATTCAGCCCAAAGCCCCATCCCCAACCTAAGCTCAGATTCGTCCCCATCCCCGGTCGCCAGAGACGGCAGAAATGAGCAGCGCTTAGGGATGGATTCGGGCCGGGCCTAGGCCCGGTCGGGCCGCCGGTTCAAGAACAGTGGGCCCGGGACCGGCCCGAGGGTTGGACGGGTCCGGTTCGGGCCGGGCCACCCGCCCGGGTCGCGGGTCGGGTCCGGTTCGGGCCGGGTCGGTTAATTTTTTTTTTTTATAATTTATATTTTATAGTTTTATAAGAGTATTAAAAACAAACTTCAATTGCATTTATTTGAAATGAAATAGGAACTACATTTGAAAATTAAAACAAACTTTAAGAGAAACATTTTGAAAATTGTAATCAATCGGAACTTCCCGCACCTCCCGATCCTTTGGCTTTGTGACCTTTGTCACATGACTTCATATGCTTGATTGCATTCCCGAATCCGCCTGAAGCCCCCATAATACATTTTTTTTCGCACCATTTGCAAATTTCGTACCACATCCCGGTCTTCGGGTCCTTCTGCTTATCAAAATTATACCGTATAATGACATTTTGATTTTCCATCTTAACTTCTTGGAGAAGAGAATTAGAGAGTAGATATATAATATATTGGAGAATAAGAGAATTAGAGAGTAGAGAGTTAAGAATGAATTTAGGAAGAATTGGAGAAGAGATATGAAAAAATGTTTAAGAGTAGGAGTATTTATAGGTTTTTTTACCCCCCACCCCCCCCACCCCCTCGGACCCCCCCTTTACCCCACCCAACGGCTATATAGCCGTTTGGGTTGTCCCCAGCCCCACCCCCAAGGCCTCAACGGCTAGTAGCCAAAAATCAAATTTTTTTTTTTTTAAAAATAGACCCGGACCCGGGCCCGGGCCCGACCCGGCCGAGCCGGGTCACAAAAATGCTGAACCGAGCCCGCCCCGCCCCTTCCCCCCGGTTCGGGCCCATACCCGGTCCTGGACCGCCCGACCGGGCCGGTCCCGGGCCCGCACAGTACCGGGCCGGGTCACGGGCCGGGTGGCCCGAACCGAATCCAACCGCCAGCGCTTCTCCCACCACTGCCCCACCCAGGCAATACCAGACCCACAGTGACCCCCCTAACCCTAGCCGCCACCCCAATTCCGGATCTAGATTTGAAAATCGCCTCTTTGCCTCTTCAACCCCCACGATAGGAAATAAATTGAAGAAGGAGAAGAAGATTGGCGTGAGTATGGATATGGCAACGGAAGGAGAAGATCGACGCGAATGAGACGGACGACGATGATGCCACGCGCGGTCGATGGTGAGGGGCGACGGCCAAGCAGTGACGGGAGACGGAGACGTCCATGGCAGCGGAGGAAGCGATGGTCTAGCTGCTATGTGCGCGGAGGAGTAGACGCTGCAGTGTGCGTCGAAGTTTGTTGATGCTCTGTGCCTGGGGTTCGTGCGCAGCAAGGACAAATTAAAGAAGGCCGGGTTAGGGAGAGTAAATATCAGTAATATTGAGACCATTTTTTCAAAAGTCTTCTAAAATCATTCCAGGGTCATCAATCCTTACGTGGTTAGCTTCCCTTTACCTCCAAAATCCAACTCTCAAACACAGTGTTAGGGAGTAAAAGTTGTTAATTAAAATGTTTTCACCAAATGGGACGTTTACTCGATCGTAAACTAGACGAATACTAATGTTTATTGAAATACAATTCTATTAAAATGGATGCCAATCTGGTGATCTTGGGCGGTGGTCAGTTGTTTTAATTCCTACAAGACGACGCAATGGAACTTGATCGAAATGAGCCACGTGTGTGCGTCACCACGAGATACGTAACTGAACTACGTAATTGACAAGCAACCTTTGACGGAAAAAGGGGCAAATAAGTTAACGTACTAACAAAAAAAGGTCAAATAAGCTGTAGGATGTTCTGTCCGGCCGTCGCCATTTAGGGCAGTTTCTGGTGGAATTTTTTGATGATTGTTTTTGGGAATCTTATTCATTAAGTTTAGTTTACTCGTACCAAATTTCAGCTAACAATTCAATGAGAAAGGCATTCAAATAAATTCTTGAATATAACTGCGCTTTTAACTGTGCAGTTATCTTTAAGAATTCATTTGAATGTCTTCCCGATTGAAGTTTTAGCTGAAATTTGGTATGAGTAAACTAGACTTAATGAATAATATGCTCAAATAATTGCATCAAAAAATTCCACCGAGAATCACTCCAAATGACCAGGGCCGGCCCTGGTGGTGTGCAGGGTGTCCAATCGCACATGGCCCAAAAAATTGGAAGGGCCCAATTTTTTTTTTTTTAGTAGTATACTCTACTACCTCCGTCCCACTATGATTGTCCCATTTTACCTTATCGGTTCGTCTCATTAATATTGTCTCATACCAAACTTGGTAAAGTTTGTGTGGCTCTAAATCATTCTTACTTTTTTCTTACTTTACCAATTCAATATCAACCACATAAATAACTTTTTATTAATTTGTGTGTCACTCCCTTTTGTCCCAATGTTAGCGGGACAGAGGGAGTATTATTACTTAGGTGGACTAGGGCAAGGCTTTGAAGCAAGCCTGGTTCATCACTTCACGTATTACTCATATGCAAAGGAGGAGCGTGTATATAGGAACGAAGGAGTGATAAATTCTCCGTTTCCACCGGTGTGAGAATCTTAAGCTTTAGAAACAAAAAAGAAAAGAAGCGAGGCATGCGGGATTTAAACCCAGGTGAAAATAAAAGCATGCACGCTGATTTCTAAACATCAACCGCCGGACCAAATCAACTAGTTCTTGAAATACGGACGTACAAGTTTTATATTACCTATTTGTTCTGCAAAATAAATAATTAAATACCTCTTAATAAAAATCGGTTCGGTTCGGTTTGAACCGATTTTATAACTCAAAAACCCTTCATTAAACCGATTTATGTTCGAGTCCCGACTTTCGGGTCCCGTTTGAGTCGGTGCGGTTTCGGTTCGTTTTTTTTAACTTGTGTTGAAACTTTGAAAAGAAGGCCCAATTATTTTTTTTTTGCACAGGGCCTTCATTTCCTCAGGACCGGCCCTGCAAATGACGAAGGCCGAACATAACATCCTATATAAGAGCTTATTTGACCATTTTTGGTTAGTATGTGGGCTTATTTGCTCCTTTTTCCACGTTTAATTGAAGAACTCATTTCCATAAGTGGGATGACTAGTACAATAGAAATATCAATATACGAAGTAAGTACTCCGTATTTATTACGGAGTACTGTATAATAATTATTACGTAGTTTTATTAATGTGAATTAGAACGCAATTTATACCCTGCAACCGACGCACCATGAGGATGGTGCGCCCGGTTGCAAAACGATGCAGCTTCAGTGGTAATAACTATTTTTATTGTTAAAAATTGTAATAACATTTTTATTTGATATCCGATTTTTATAAATTTTATATCAATTTTTTTTTTATTTTTCACGATCTATCAAATGAGACCGATATATTGCTTATGTAATTTTAACAAATTATTTTGAAGTTACATTTGATAATATATCATGAAGTTATATCTACTTCTGCGCGAGTTACATCTTATTGTACGCGAGTTACATCTTAATATACGCGAGTTACATCTTAATGTATGTGAGTTACACCACGAAATAAACCCCTGCTACATCTTTCATTTTTATCATTTGAAAAATAGTGTATGAATATGAAATACAATATACTTATTTTATGTGGATTAATAAAATTTTGTATTAAATTGGGAAAAAAAAATTAATTCAGTTATAATTGAATTAGTTCAAGATAAAGATAAGTAAAAAATCACAAATAATTAGATATAACTCACATATAATTACATTTAACTCGCGCATAAAAGTATGTAACTCATGTATAACAAGATGTAACTCACACATAACAAGATGTAACTCACACATAATTACATGTACCTCGCGCATAAAAGTATGTAACTCGTGTATAACAAGATGTAACTCACACATAACAAGATGTAACTCACACATATTAACTTGTAAGTGGAGTATATGTCACGCCCCGGACCTAGCCGGACATGTCAACAACCCGCCGTACAGTACGGATAGTCAACCGCAGTCCAACTCATCCATACTATACAAGGCGTCATGAATATCATTCACACATAGTACATCCATAAACAAACATAATGTAAAACATGCATTTAAAACAGCGGAAGCATTAATACGATTGTTCAAGCCACACTTGGCATAACTAGGCATACAAGCCCCCAAAGTAATTATTCAGAAAATAGTATCCATGAGCATTAACGTAATTGTTTTTAAAACAGAACGGAAGAAGCACGAACCACGTCTTCTTCCCATGATCCTCCCGAAGCAACGGGCAATGGTAGCAACCTTCAAGTTCTACCTGAAACTGTGAGGTGGCCTCCCCCGTGAAGGGGAGGTCAGTACTTGGAAGCATTTGACAAGTACAATAGCAATTATACTAAGTATAATCAACGTTTTAATTTCCAAGACCCTCAAAATAGGGTGATGTCATGATATAAATAATAAATTATATTTCCCACTTATTATCTTTATAATAAGTAAATTCATTTATTTGTCGGCACACGGCCCTTCTTATATATTCCTTTTCATTTATCATTTGCACAACCCAACCCTTGGGTCTTATTATTTCTACGGGACTTGCTACCGCTGTCCGAGACCTCATGAGGCTCCCGGTTCGGACTCCAACATCCCGCCCCTGGACTCATACCCATCATCCCGTAGGAAGGTAAGGCCCTTCGGGGTCCTATCTTATGTGCTACCGCTACCGGAGCCTAGTTAGGTCTCCGATTCAGATTCCACCCTAACCCGTGATCACGATGTAAGTCCATGCTATCAAACCCCGCTCTCTAGAGTCGGGAAGGGCCATGGTCCTTACTTATTTCCATAATTCAACCGGCTATCCACAAGGACTACCGAACACACCCGTAGGCCAATCCTATACTTAGGATCAATTTACTACTTACTTTATCTTGGGTATCTCTTAAGGCCTACCCCTAGTATAACTTAGAGTTCATACCTTCCTACCTTAAAGCATCTCTTAAGACTACTTAAGGCATAACATTTCACAATCCAATCTTAGGATATATCTTAACAACATTTCATTTTAATGTCCAACTAGTATCTTAATACTAGTCAAATTCATACCAACAAACCAAGTTCTCAACTCATAGTCATATAGACAATTCCAACTGATTTTCCTTTGAACATGTCATTTATCTCAATATTCAAATACCACTTTTAATCACTCATATATTCTAATATGAAGGAAAAAATATATTTCGACATATGTTTCATAATTAATTTCCACTTTCAAGTCAACATATTCATAACACATGATCATACACAATTTACTCTTAAATTTGTATATCATGCTCCTTTTTCTTTAGACATTAGTCTTTTCATTCTTAGGCATTATTAACCATTAATAATCCATAAAAACACATTTAATTACCTTAGCTAATCTCATGAAATTAACTCACTAATTATAAGCAATATAGTCAGCCATCCTCACCTTATGAAGTGCTCAACTAGTTGCCTTTGCTAAGCCCCTCGATCAATCCCCGTTCTAGGCCGATTGAAAGTGTAAAACTGAACTGCTGGGCAAAAGCCGGGCGGCTTTCGTAGTCTGCAACTACGAACAGCTCCTTTGGAGTGTCGGTTTCCGGCGATTTCGACTCCTATCGATTCCACAACTCTTCTACGTTAAACACCACCATTCTATATCAATATTCTACACTTTTAAACGTGTAGAACATCATGTTTAATCCACCATATGATCTCTTAAAAATCATATGAATAAAATACTAGTTAATGTATATTAGCTAAGTTCTTACCTCAAATCTTAGTCTCTTTGTGTTGGGTTTTCTTTCCTCTTGCTTCCTCCTACCCTGGACTTTGTTGGAGACTTTCTTCTTGAGCTCTCTCCTCTTTGGCTTGTCCGAATGGTGAGGATGGAAGGAGGAAGTATCCCCTCTCAATCAAAGAGCAAAATAATGTGGAGTATGGGCCAAAGGGTGTGGGTGTTTGTCTTGCACATCACCTCACTTAATAGTCCGCCCCTACCATGTTTTGATGTTCTTCCAGCTCCCATTTAGTCAACTAGAGCACATAAAAACGTGGGGTGGCCCCCACTTATGTGGGAGGTCATCCCATTATGTCTCGGTGTGTACAATCGGCCCCGAAAGTTGTATTTCTCGGACTGTTTTGATCATATTTTATTTTATCGGGCCAAATAAAATATATCACGCGTCCCTAATGCTTATGGGCCTTGAGAATAGACGTACATTACCCAACATTAATTTTGGAGTCTCCGAAACTCATTTCGGGCTGTTAACCGCTAAATTACCAATACCAGAAATTGAGCCTCGTTTGACCACCGGTCAACTCCATGCCTTTCCTATGGCCCAAATAAAATATCCACCTCCATATAGATGTCATCTAGACCAAGATGAATATAGTATGTGGTTCGGGAATTATCGGGCGGCCCCCCGGTCCGGGCGTGGGCCCCACATGCAATTTACTATTCACGTAAAAGAAATAATAAAAATTTACAATTACGCAAATTCATAAATCATCCTTCAAGGTTTATTACATAATTTACTAAAAGTAAATATGTTTGGGGACGGTGCTACAAGTTCACCCCCCCTTAACGGGAATTTCGTCCCCGAAATTCACAACGATTATTCAAACAGAAATGCGTACTGTACCTTCATCGAGGCTTCAGTC